GCCTTCTGGTTAGCAGTCAAATGCCTTAGGCACTACACTACCAGAGCTCCTTCCCGGTAGATGGCTTAATTTATTCTGATTTAATCCCCAGTTTGAACTGCCAGCCTTCTGGTTAGCAGTCAAATGTCTTAGGCACTATGCTACCAGAGCTCCTTTCCAGTCCCTACTGTTCTAGAAAGACACAACTTCAGTCCCCCCCTGCCCGAACTCCCCCCCCCCCCCCCCCATGTCCTTCCTGGCTCCATGGTTGCCCTATCCCCAGTGTCTGAAAGTTCAGGTGCACCTTCTCCTGCCTGGGGAGAGCAGCCCCCATTTCTCAACAAACCAGAACTTGATTTCTCAGGGAGGCTGTCCCAGACCTTTCACCCCACCCCATTCCCCAGGGCCAACCTAGGTATCAAGGTGACCCCAGCGCTGCTGCTTCTCACACCAGGAGACTCACTCACCCAGGTCCATGACACACTCTGGGCAGATGAAACCACACAGGAAATCTGTGCGGGGCCCCCCCACGTTCTTGCTGGTGGCTCCCTGTTTGTGGAGGAAGTGGTATGAGCCCCTTTTAAGTAGTAAGAAGAGCCTCCCTCTTTCTCCCCGCCCTGTCCCGCCCACCCTTGCTCCTCCCTCCACTCCTCCCTGCCTCCCCCAGGGTCTAGGTTCCTAGATGGCTTGCTCTCTCAAGCACCTTCGGGGACCAAGGGATATGAGAAAGGTGATGAGAGTGACAGCCCATTCAGCCTGGTCACAGGAACCTGACTCATCAGGCCATTTATATTAAAAAGGTCCCCTGTGCAGCCTGGCAGAACCTAAATGAGTGGGCCCACTCGGAGGTGGGGGAATGGGGGGCATTTTTTGATGTGACATATGTATATGGCATCAATACCACATGCCAGGTGCTGGAGAGTCAGAGATGAGTGATAGACATATTTTCATTCTTTCCTTGCCTTGTTCAGTGTCACTGAAAAAAAAAAAAAAAAAGAAAAAAAAAAAAAAAGAAAGAAAGAAAGAAAAAAAGAACCAAACCCACTGTCATGGAGTTGATTCCAACTCCTAATGACCCCAATTGTGTTTCTAAGGTTGTAAATCTTGATGGAAGTAGATCGCCCCATCTTTCTTCTGTAGAGTGGCTGGTGGGTTTGAACCATCAGCCTTCTGGTCAGGAGTCAACTGTCTTAGGCACTGTACCACCAGAGCTCCTTTCAGTGTCACAGGGGGCCCCATTTCCCAAAGTACACTGGCCTCTAGCTTCTGGGTAGGTTTGGCCAACAGGAGGCACTGCCAGAGGATGGAAGGTAGGAAGGGAGAGATGTGTCAGGATGCTTCCTTCTTTCTTTTTCTTTACTTCTCTCTCTCCTTCTACATAATAGCTTCATTGAGATAGAACTTATATACCATAAAATCCACCCCTTTAAAAGTTTTAATACATTCACACTTGTGCAACCATCAACACAATCATTTTTGGAACATTTTTACCATCACCCAAAAAAACCTCTACACCCATTAACAATGACTCTCTCTACTTCTCCCTTCTCAGTCCCCGTGACCACTCATCTACTTTCTGTTTCTATAGATTTGCCTATTGTAGACATTTCACATAAATGAAATCATATGATACATGGCCTTTTGGGTCTGATTTCTTTCACTTTTTGTTGTGTGCTGTCAAGATGATTCTGACTTATCGTGATCCTCTATGACAGAATAGAATTGCCCCATAGGGGCAGGCTATAATCTTTATGGGAGCAGATCACCAATTCTTCTCTCCTATGGAGCAGCTGGTGGGTTCGAACCACTGATCTTTTGGTTAGCAGCCAAGTGCTTAGCCATTGTGCCTCCAAGGTTCCTTTCTTAGCATGTTTTCAACGTTCATCCATGTCTTAGCATATATCAGAAGTTCATTTTTCTTTATGGCTGCATAATATTCCATTGCATATATACACCACGTTTTGTTTATCTTTCATCAGTTTGGTATTATTTCCACTTTTTGGCTATTATGAATAACACTGCTATGAAATTTGTGTATGAGTTTTTGTATGGATGTATGTTCTCATTTGCTGAGTCATATATGCTTAACATTTTGAGGAACTGTCATGTCAAACTGTTTTCCAAAGTGGCTGTGTAATTTTACATTCCTATCAGCAATGTGTGAAGATTCCACATTCTTGATAAGACTTGTTATTGTCCATCTTTTTTTTTAAATTATAGTCATCCTAGTGAATGTGAAGTGGTATCTCATTGTGGCTTTGATTTGCATTTCCCTAATGAAGGAGAAGGCGCTCTGCTAGCATAGTGCCTAAGGCACTTGACTGCTAACCAGAAGGCTGGCGGTTCAAACCCGCCAGCCACTCCTCGGAAGGAAGGTTGGACAATCCTACTTCCGTAGTGATACTGCCTCGGAAACCCAAGGAAGGGTCGCTATGAGTCGGGGCCGACTCGACGGCACATGACAACAACAACAACAAATGAAGGAGAACCTTTGTGGCACAATGGTTAAAGTGTTTGGCTGCCAACCAAAAAAGGCTGGTGGTTCGAACCCACCAGCTGCTCCATGGAGAAAGATGTGGCAGTCTACTTCTGTACAGATTTACAGCTTTGGAAACCCTACGAGGCAATGTTGCTTTGCCCTATAGGGTTGCTGTGAGTTGGAATCAACTCGATGGCAGTGGGTTCGCTCCCCCCCCCCCCATGACTAATGCTATTGACCACCACTCTTCTGTCACTTTGTCATATTGTGGTGGTGGTTTATGTGTTGCTGTGAAGCTGGAAGCTACAGCACTGGTGTTTCAAATACCAGGAGGGTCAACTATGGTGGGTCTAAGACTAGGAAGAAGGATGGGGGCAAGTTCACTTCTGAAAAAAGTTGGCCACTGAAACCTTCTAAATAGCAGTGAGATACTGTCCGATTTAGTGCTGGAAGATGAGCCCCTCAGGTTGGAAGTCACTCAAAATACAACAAGGGAAGCGGTGTCTCTTCAATGTAGAATCAACCTTAATGATGTGGATGGAGTAAAGCTTTCAGGACCTTCATTTGCTGATGTGGCATGACTCCAAATGAAAAGAAACAGCTGTAAACAGCCATTAATTATTGTAATGTGGAATGTATGAAGTATGGATCTAGGAAAATTGGAAATATACAGGAATCAAATCAACTGCATCTGTGAAAAGAGACCATGGAGAAACTCAGCATCATCAGTCAGAACAAGGCCAGGGCTGACTGTGGAACAGACCATCAATTGTTCATATCAAGTTGAAGTTAAAGTTGAAGAAAATTAAAGTGAAAAGTTTGACCTTTGAAAGCCTAAGTATGACCATGATTATGTTGTTGTTATGTGCCCTCGAGTCGGACCCAACTCATAGTGACCCCACCTTGGGTTTCCGAGGCAGTATCACTACAGAAATAGATTGCCCAACCTTTCTTCCGAGGAGTGGCTGGTGGGTTTGAACCACCAGCCTTCTGGTTCACAGTCAAGTGCCTTAGGTATTGCACTATCAGAGCTCCTACAAAGTAAAATATTATAATGAAATGTGCAAAGATGTGGAGTTAGAAAACCAAAAGGGAAGAACATGCTTGGCATTTCTCTAGCTGAAAGAATTAAAGGAAAATTTCAAGCATCGAATTGCAATATTGAAGGATTCTATGAGAAAAATATTGAATGGTGCAGGAAGCATGAAAAGATGATGGAAGGAATACCCAGGGTCACTGTACCAAAAAGAATTGGTCAGCGTTCACCCATTTCAGGAGGTAGCATATGATCAAGAACCAATGGTACTGAAGGAAGAAGTCCAAGCTGCACTGAAGGCATTAGCAAAAAACAAGTCTCCAGGAATCGACAGAATAGCCATTGAGATATTTCAACAAATGGACACAGAACTAAAGGTGCTCATTCATCTATTCCAAGAAATTTGGAAGACAAACTACCTGGCCAATCAAATGGAAGATATCTGTGTTTGTACTCATTCCAATGAAAGGTGATGCAAAAGAATGCAGAAACCATCAAACAATATCGTTACAGTAACACACGAGTAAAATTTTGCTGAAGATAATTCCAACCCAGTTTGCATTAGTACATTGCTGTGGAGCTGCGGCATAGTCAAGCCAGATTCAGAAGGGGATGTAAAGTGAGGGATATCATTGCTGATGTCAGACGGATTTGGCTGAAAGCAAAGAATACCAGAAAGGTGTTCACTTATGTTTTATTACTATGCAAAGGCATATGACTGTGTGGATCGTAACAAATTATGGATGTCATTGGGAAGAATGGGAATTCCAGATCACTTAATTGTGCTCATGAGGAACCTTTATGTAGACCAAGAGGCAGTTGTTTGAACAGAATAAGGGGATACTGTGTGGTTTAAAATCAGGAAAAGTGTGCATCAGGGTTTTATCCTTTCACCATGCTTTTTAAATCTGTATGCTGAGCAAATAATTATCCAAGAAGCTGGACTATATGAAGAAGAATGCATTACTAGGATTGGAGGAAGGCTCATTAACAACCTGACATGAAGATGATATAACTTGCTGAATGCAATGAGCGTTCTTGTTGTTATGTGCCGTCAAGTCGGACCCGACTCATAGCGACCCCTCCTTGGGTTTCCCAGGCGGTATCACTACAGAAGTAGGTTGCCCAACCTTCCTTCTGAGGAATGGCTGGTGGGTTTGAACCACCAGCCTTCTGGGTAGCAGTCAAGTGCCTTAGGCACTATGCTACCAGAACTCCTAATGCAACAAGTACTTGAAGCATTTACTGATGAAGATAAAAGACTACAGCCTTCAGAATGGATTACAGCTTGACATAAAGAAAACAAAAATCCTCACAACTGGACGAATAAACATCATCATGATAAACAGAGAAAAGATTGGGTTGTTAGAGATTTCATTTTATTTGAATCCACAATCAATGCTCATGGAAACAGCAGTCAAGAAATCAAACGATATATTGCATTGGGCAAATCTACTGCAAAAGACCACTTTTTAATAATTTAAAAAAGCAAAGGTGTCGCTTTGAGAACTAAGGTGCACCTGACCCAAGCCATAGTATTTTCAGTTGCCTCGTATGCATGTGAAAGTTTGACAATGAATAAAGAAGACTGGAGAATAATTGATCCATTTGAATTATGGTGTTGGTGAAGAATACGGAGTATACCATGGACTTCCAGAAGAATGAACAAATCTGTTTTGGAAGTACAGCCAGAATGCTCCTTCGAAACAATGATGGTGAGACTTTGTGTCAGGTACTTTGGACACATTAACAGGAAGGACCAGTCTATGGAAAAGGACATCATGCTTGGTAAAATAGAGGATCAGTGAAAAAGAGGAAACCCCTCAATGAGATAGATTGACACAGTGGCTGTACCCATGGGTTCAAACATAGCAGTGATTGTGAGGACGGCACATGATGGGGCAATGTTTCGTTCTGTTGCACATAGGGTCGCTATGAGTCAGAAACAAATGGATGACACCCAACAACAACAGTCTTTATTTTTTCCTTTCTTCTGCTTGTTT